AGAGGCCGCCTCCTCTCACGCTGTCGGGCCAAATTTCTCTCACATACACACACACACACACACACACACACACACACACACGTCACTCTGTCCCTGTGTTTCTGTCTCATGGCTGCTCCTTCGCTCTCACCCTTTTTCACACATTCTTTGTCTTGTTGTCTCTTTGATGACAGCCTGATGGAGACACAGCTGAAAACACTGTCTGGCTGAAATTTTTAAAAGCGTGTGTATCAGGCACACACATGGGCCGTCACACACACACACATGCACACACATCAAGAGAGGTACATGGACTTCCATATCGGTTTATCAACCATCCACCTCTCTGCCTCTTTAAATATATCTCTCACTGCGGTCACTTTTGAGTCTTTTTCTGTTGGTCCTCTGTCTACACACTCTATAACTTTCTCCCCCTGCCCCTCTCCCGGTCACTTTAGCACACACACACACACACACACACACACACGCACACACGCACACACTCGCACACACACACATTTTGTCCTCTGACCTGGCGAGGAAGGTTAGACAGAGACAGAGGTAAGGAGGCAGACTCATACCTGCAGTGGGAGAAGCTGAACTCCTCTGAGTTACATTTCAGCACCTCATTGATTTAGTGTGTTTTCAGCTCCATAGTGTGTATATACGTGTGTGTGTGTTTGTGCATGCTTTTAGCCTGGGTCATTTTTCTATCATCTATATCCAGCACACTGTAACCAGGACCAAAACAAGAGTGTGCACGTGTGTGTGTGTGTGTGTGTGTGTGTGTGTGTGTCCAGTCATGAAGAAAGCACACTCCGCTTTCTTCCAAAGCTCCGACTCCTCAGCATTATGAACTCATCTCTCCCTGCTAACACACACTCCATACATATTACATGAGCATTACTCTTCTCTCCTGCTATATTTCACATAATTATGCATATGCTGTATGAGCAGTGTGTAAATGTTTATATGGATGAATGTGAGCGTAAATGGGTATTAAAAGGGCACAATACATTTTATTATCTAACTGCTACTATGCGAAATATTAAACACTGTATTATAATGTATGAGTGTTTGTGTAGTTACGGTGGCAACAGAGCAAATATCTGAACACATGTCTAACAGTGCAGATACACGGGAAGCTTTCTGTATTACTGAATGTGTCAACAATGATAACAGTGCTGAGCAGTGCACCATAAATGTAACAGGCACTCAGAAGCTCCAGAAAAATAATGGCAGATATAGTTACAAGATACTTAACAGATTAAGATTTTATATATAAAAAAAGATAGTATCATCTTCGAAAATACAGCTTGATGTCAAAACCGCGGGGTCTGAAAGACTGATAATTGAAACGTAGGTCCGAGGAAGATTAAATTATTCAGGCAACATAAAGACTCATATTAAAGGTGCATTCATTCACACGTGTGGACAAATCAAAGTGTAAATGGTACATCAGGAAATCGGCAAAGGAACACAGAAATCCTTTTGCATATGTCGGATTGATGGTGTAAGCGCAGACACAAAGACATTTGAGTGTGTGCGTGTAGGCAGTGTTTATGGCTTGTTCCCACCAAACACTATGCTTAAGTTCAGTCAGTTTGTTGCACATTAGAGCAGCTATTTTTGCGTTTCTACAGACAAATGTTTTGACTGGTACCAAAAGAACTGCTCCATTCTATTCGCAAAAAACACATGGCATGTGTACGGCCCTGCAGTTCCATGCCAGATAAAATTTAGGAAGTTCAGACAGCAGTACAGGGAACAAATTCTTTTATGATAATCTTAAGACTGATGGAAATCAGATTTCCTAACTCCCTAAAACTATTGTTTCACCATACATGGACAGACAAGCTTTGGACACAGTTTAGAGTAAGACAGTGGATACAGACATAAAGAGGTACATGGAATATCTAAGAGTCAATATAAAATATGAATAGTTAAAATTGATTCATTGTAAATAAAGTAAATAATTCAATTTAGGATACAAAATCACACTAACAGGTTCCTTACTCGTTGGCTTCTGCCCCTCAGCTTGCAATAACGTATCCCTCTCAGGTGACATATTGCTGCAGAACAAGTACTTTGACTTGTATTTTACATTATTGCACTGATGTTTTTACTTAAGTAACAGATCCGATAGCGTCGTCCACCAGTGGATACAACAGTTTTCACGATATTCATCACATTCAACGTGGGCTCCCAGATTTGGATGGAAAGCTTGTGATTTACTTTTTACTTGCTTTATTTTATCTCAAAAACAGCTATCCCCTCCATCTCCTTTTGCCTTCAGTCACAGACACAGACGAAATTCACAATGACCTGTGATCACCATCCAAATTGTTATTTGTACAAAAGCTCCATTTGGCACTAATACCACACATTTACCTGATGACACTATCAGGCTCTCAGAGCAATTTAGAAACTCGGGGTCCAGGACCTTACTCATGAAAACTTTAACAAGACACATCGCTGTTAGAGAAATCGAAACCTGTGACCTTTCCTTGATGTGATGGTCTCTTAAACTAAAAGGTCGCTTTGCTGCCTTTTCATTGAAAGATGCAGTATCCTGTTATACAACATCCTGCTACCAAGTCCTTTGTTAAGTCTCTTTTTTCTGAATTCCTAGTTAGCTGCTGCTGCTGCTGCTGCTGCTAACCAAGGTGATAATTTGGTGGGTACAATGGTCAATTAACCAAAAAAATTCTACGTCACTGCAACTATAGCACAAGCAAAGGCAGTCCTGTGTCTCGTAATGCAACAGCTGCTCGCAGCAGCACCATAAAGGAAGATTTTGCTGGGGGAAATATGGTAGTTAAAGAGCAGATGGGAGGGTTGTTGTTTTGGGGTTTTTTTTTGACAAATTAACATGAATTAGAGAAGAGGACATATTATTTTTTGGGGGGCGATGTGGTTTATGTTTAGAGAAAGATCATTTTGCCTTCATTGACAGGTACCTGCTGTTGTGCAAGGCGTGAGAGGGATGCTCCATGACTGGCACGAGGGGGTGAAAATTTGGAGAAACTGAAAAATGGAAACAGCCACACTGGCACTGAAAAAAAAAGACTTAACAGCCATTAGTGGCACAGGGCCTGGTGAGGAAGGGAGGATTTGATTCCAAGTATGTTGCCCAGCACAAACTTACAGGGATCGCGTGCTGTGGCTGCCATATGGGACTCACACAATAATTGCAGTCAGACCAAATTCTCTGCAGCCTGGGCAGGAGGCACCATGGTCTTGTCAATAGACACGATCGGCTCAGTCTAGCTGAGCTGGAATTTGTGGTGGTGAGTAGACATCCAATGGGAATAGCACACCTCAACTTGAGTGTCAGAGGACAGGAGGAAAAGCAGATTTCACCGGGGCGATGTCAGAGCATGCAGCACCGTGGCAATTATAGGGAAAGTTATGGGATGCATCAGTGCCTCTATGACTTACCAAACTGCCAAACTGTTATTCTTTGGATAGGAGCAGCTGAGTAGAAGCAGAACAGCAAGCATGCACATATGAGCCCTTTTTTCCTTGTTATATACTCATATAAACTATTTTTTTTATGAAGCATAATTATCCTGCAAAATTGGAATAGGTAACTTTTTTATGCTGCTTATTTTTGGCCAATATTCACATCTAGCAACTTTTGTAGTCAACTCTCATTGTAAGAGCTCAGTACTGTAGACATTTACCATACACAGACACACACACACACACACACACACATATACATTTACACACACTTCTGCTGCATGCATTACCTGATAATGGCATGCTGTGGGTGTACTAAGGTGTTATGTTGGAGTGGCTGACCTAATGCATTAGATTGAGCTCACTGTCAGGTCTTTAAGTAGCTGGGATCAGAGGTATATACACAGCTAATGGATCCTTCTCTCCGTGGGTGGAATAACACAGCGATAGCTCTATTAAAAGTGGTGAAAAAAAATAAGAAAAAAAAATAAACACCACCAACTTAACTTTCGAAAAATGAGAAGACAACAATTGGACTGGATTAACATCATACCCAGGTTTTATTTTCATATTTGTTCCTGTAAGGCACAGCCAGCTCAATTGCCATTTGGGATTTAATGTCGTTTGGTTTGTACAGTGAAATAAATGTTTCTTTAATTGCTACTATAACAGTAATATTTATTGAGTCAGTGTTGTGGGAGAGGTGGGCAATAATGCACTGTGTGAAAACCATGCAACTTGCTGAGTGGACCAACTTTAGTTTTAGAGAGCAGATCTCAGTACAGAACACAACCTCTGCATTGAGACTGAGGTACTGTGGCCTTTGCTGATGAAGAGATTATTGCAAACGATTCTTTGACAGATACTTAGCTTTGTTTTGCATAAAAGATTACACTGAAAATGTATAGTCCAAGATGCAATCCAACTCAAAGTATTTTGACTGGCTTTGCACCCAGAACTGACTGTATGCCCTCACCAAATTTCCTTGACGAGATCTGGAAATGAGAGGAAAGTTGAACAAACATTGAAAAGTGAAATAATACGATGATATAGTGATTAATCGGCTGTGTGTAGATAAACAATTGTTGCACCCACATCCCAAAGCAAATATCTGTGATCAGTGGTTTGGGGCTTTAATCACATCTGAGCAGACGGTGTTTTTGCCAAGGAAAACAAGATCTTTAACACGAGTTCGACTTTGTTTGCCTGTTTATATAAAATTGCATAAAAGTGTATTACTAGTGTTACACTGTCGAGGCAGTTAATATCGCAGTGAAGCCCCATCAGATTGGTGATGAGAGGGAGCTCTGTGTTGTTACGGGGGTTTTATAGCTGAGCATATCAACATCAAGTGATGGAGGTGAGGGTAGGGATGGTATAACAGAAGGTGGAAAGATGGGAGGTATGCCTGTCAACACCATGTGCCTCTCACTCAGATTTGTCATATTTTCTGGGGATATTTTTTTTGTACTGTTTTTCTGGTGCATATTTGTGAGTATACATTTCAACATGTCTGCATCTTCTCCACTTATGTGTGTTCACCTCTACAAACCCAGAACAAGCAGAACCTGCTGTCGAAGCAAATAGACCTCAAGGGCAAGGAGCCAGAGAAGGGAGTGCTGATGTCCCACACCATCTCGGACCTGAGAATCCCTCTGTCCTACGAGGTCCGTCTGGCCCCCATCACCACCTACAGCACTGGGGACCACATCAGTCGCATCATACAGTACTCAGAACGTGAGTCTATTTTTATCAAAAAAAATTTCCATGTATGCACATTGTATAAAACATGTGTAAGTAGACTGCTCATATCTAGCTAATAGCTAATCAACATTGTTTTCTTACAGCCTACACCTACCCAAGACCTTCAGGTGAGACAGCTCTCATAACTACCATCCTCTGCTCTTCCACATTTCTACATTTCACAGTGCTAAGCTTGTTGTTGTGACCTGATTGATGACAGGGTGGTGAAGTTAGGACGGCATGTTGAATTTTGATTCAAGCTAATTTAGCTTGTATGCTGCAAGCAATGTCAGCACAAGTTTGTCAAGGCAAAGTTTGTCAGGACCCAGCCTTGGCCTTGATTAAATCTTGTTGCTGGGGAGGAGAGTGGGGTAACGGTAGGATGAGGGAAAGCAACTGATGGCTGGAAGCAGATCCATAACATCTTATATGCCATCCTAGTGCCTATGATTGGAGCATATGGGACTAGTTAATGCAGTGTGATTGGCTAAAAGGTTTATGGGCAAAATACTTGAAACTCACTTGTTAAAACTATATTGAAACGTATATTGAAATGTATGCCCCCTTTTTCTCTCTGTTAGCGCCCTCTCTCTCAGTCACACTCTCCTACACTAACTCCTGCTCTCTGCCTGACTCCATCCTGCCATCCCTCTCTCTTTCTCAGTCAATTGCATCTTGTCTATTTTCTTCATTAAGAGACACGCAGCATTTTTCTGGCAGGAGTGGCAGTTGGCTCCGCCAGGGTGAGGCAATTAAAACAACAGCAGATTGGAACAGACTGCGAGAACAACAGTGCAAATTGAAAGGAGCGCATGTAGTGGAGCAGGGTGTGAATAGTAATAGATTAGCTCCCTGAAACAAAGAAGCATACACAAGCCGTCCTCGTGGGTAGCGCGAGCCATATGCATTTGCAGCGGACTGTGTGAGTGTCCAGGAAGCTTTTACAGAATCTGTCAGCTTGGATGGTTTTCGTTTTACTCGCTTGCCTCGCTTTTCATTTGTGTGGCAAGTCTCTGATAATGGCAGAGCCCTCCTGATGGGCTAATGAAGGGGACAACACCACAGGGAGGAACCCCTCTATCTGGCTTAACAAGACACTGCAGCATCAGGGATAATGACAGTTGCCTCACAGAGGTTTTTCTGTTGTGTTACGTTTTCCCTTGCTGATATATGCAACAATATCAGACAGCCAAAATCTGACTCCATATGGACGAGAGAAGATTGTTTGTCACGTGAGGCTGGATCTGATCATAGCTCTGTTGTGAGAATAATTGGAAAATTCAGAAAGAATCAGCAGCCAGTTGAGAAACTCAGATGGGAAAAAGTAGAACTGTGCATTTAAGTTTATAACATGCACAACATACAGGACACCTATCCCCTCCCAAACTTTGAAAATGAGTCGCAGCGCTCACATTCAAGTTCTCTGGAAAAACTCAGTGCACTGGGTGCGGTTACATGATAGCTTCTCATTCAGAGTGAAATAAATCTGAATGAAATCATTTGGAAATTAAAGTTTTTCCAGGTAGTTTACATGGGAAATATTCATTCCTAATGAGGGTTTACACGGGAGATCAGTTTAATCGCCTTTATTTGGGTCTGCGCAAGGTTTGGGGCAGGGAAGGTTTCTGATTGGATAGGGGGCAGGGCAGATGTTACGTGTTTACGTTTACCGGAAGAAAACACTGTAGTCCTCGTTCCAGATAACAAGATGCTTGACGACGCCGTTCTTAGTGCCTTTTTCGGGCTTGTTTTGCTTATATTCTTGAAGCAGCAGTACGACAACAACCTTGTTCTGCTAATGCTTTGTCCGTTGAGGAGGAGAAGGGAGATAGAAGACCGTGCTGTGGCGAATGGAAACCGGTGACTGCAACGAGTCCGACTGCTCTATCTCAGCCTGTTGCTATGCACACTATATACGTGATCGCGCCAGAAGGGCAAGGAAACATGCATGCGCAGAAAGACCGGAATGAACTACAAAAGGAATGAGTGTATACAAGTGCTAGAAATTGTTTCATTCTGAATTAGAAACAGAATATTCCAGCCCCTTACATCGGAATGAATTTCCAATCCCATTGGCCATTTCCATTCTGAATTAGGTGTTTACAAGATCACTTTTAATAGGAATGAACTTTTTATTCTGAATGAAAAGGGAATTAAACTGTCCATGTAAACGCACCCATTGACATCGTCAGACCTGGTATGTCTTTCTTGCTGGGATTCTCACAAATGCTTCTTAACTTCTTTTCATACACCTCCCATACTTACCCAGCGTAAGCCCCCACTGCTCTCTACATAAAGGACTCTTATTAGATCTTTGTTGTTTTATCAGTAACTATTAGTGGCTGGATTTTTCTTGCTTTCTGTAAGGGGTCAACCAATGTCATATTGGAAAAAAAAAAAGACTGGGATATAACTTATAGAGTAAACCATGGTTCAGTAGGTCAACAGCTCTTCTCCTGATAATTGTGCTCCACCATGTTTTTCCCTGTTCAACAATATCTCCAGGCTGTGTGATTTATTTTGTATGAAATCTAGAAGCAGTGAAACCTTTTGATAAAGATGTTTGTTTTTTTTTTTTCTTATTACATTTGACACAGTCTGACCTAATCATAGTTACCTGTAAAATGTTCTGCATGTGGGAGTCATGCATCGGCATATGCATAATGTGTGGAATCCACTTTAAGTTTCACATTATATACCCTCCCTCCTACATTGTCAGTAATTGCCTGGCTGTCTGATCTTCACATTTGAAGTGCATTTTGCAGAGGTCATTATACAGCTATATTGTCAACGTTAATTTCCTGGGAAAAGTGGGTCGAGAAAAAACCTGTAGATCATGTCACCTATAGTTTGTAATGGCACCTGCTTGACACGTCTCTGATCTAATGTGTTTTCCCCTCTTGTTTGTTCTCCACACACACGCCTACTCCAGATCACGTGTGTGGTTTTGAGGATGACAGAATCTGCGGTTTCTCTCAAGACCGAAGTGATGTGTTTGACTGGACGAGACAGAATCACCTGACGCAGAATCCCAAGCGATCTGCCAATACTGGCCCCGAGACTGACCGCAGTGGGACCAAGGAGGGTGAGGAAAACTGTACACTGCACAACATCATAATCTCATTTATTCTGTGTTGTATTCAATACTCCAATAGAGTGTTGTCTTGTTGGTTTCAGGGTACTACATGTACATCGAGGCATCCCGGCCACGTGTGCAGGGGGACAAGGCTCGTCTGCTGTCTCCGCTTTTTAATGTGACCTCAGTCAGGGGCCCCAAGGGCTCTGGCAGAGTCCCATATTGTGTCTCTTTCTACTACCACATGAAGGGCAAACATATTGGTGAGTAGCACAGTGGAGAAAAAAATACTCATAAACATACACACACACACACACACACACATACCGTCTTCTACCTCACGAGAGCATTCATAGGAACACAATGACACACATGGATATACAGTGGAGAGGATTCCGACACTCGATATTATCAAGGTTCTCATATCGCTGGGCTCCTGTCAAAAGCTGAACTTTTTGCTTGACCCTGGCTTGTAGAGCTTGTCAGATGTAACATTATATGTAGGTGTGTGTTTGTGTGTGTGTGTGTGTGTTTGAAAGAAAAAGCGAGTGAGTAAAAGAGGGGGTGGCAGAGTGTTACCAAAGTTCTGTTTGTATGGTTCTGCCTGTGCCTCAGTGTGTGTTTGGAGGTGGCTGAAGGGGGCAGTGGGTGTGTGATTTATGGCAGTGGCAAGACACAATCAGTCATTTGGGGGAGCTGTTCATCATAATATGCTCTGTCACACAGCTAGAATGCATACATCTTGTAGCCTACACACCTGCACACACACTTACACCCACCCACACACACACACACACACACACACACTAGATTTCCACAAAAAAACTAGAGTTACAAATACATGAAGGCACACCCACATTTATTTACACACACGCACACACACATGCACAGTGTTGATTGTTTTCACTGTAACATTTGTTACATTCGGACCTCTGTCTCCTAATGATTCAGTGTGTTAAAGAACAATGTTTGTGTGTGCATGTGTGTTTGCATACACAGATACATATGTAATGATTACATATACTGAACTGTATAAATGACAGCAAATCCGAATGTCCACCAGTTTGGTGAACTGAATTATTTCGACTCGATTTTCTCAACAACAATCAGATGGATTGCTATGAAATCGTGTGCATTCATGATAAACTCTAATATCTGATCATCTCCACTTAGAGCTTAGATCGGGCCCAAAAAATCCAGCCCGACCCGGCCTGAGCCTGTGCACGTTATGTCCGGGACCGGCCCAGCCCATTCAATTAACTGTAATTATGGGCCCAAGCCCAATTTAAACCCGACATTTTTCAACAAGTTGGCTGTTATAATTAACGCTAAGGACACACCGAGCGCGTTAGTGCCGCGGAAGCTTGACTGTCCACACAGGCAGCGCATTTCTCCTGCGCTCTCCACGTCGGTTAAACATCGACTCCACTCGTCTGTTCCCATCAGTACTCGTTTTTTCACTTCAACAGGTCATTTTAAACATGGGTAAGTCCATATTTTCATCGTTTTTTATAACTTAATAATTTAATGACAATTTGTCATTGCATGTCCATGTATTGAGCGTGTTGGGTAAACACTGAATGAATAGGGCATATTTTTTGGAGGCCCGGAAAGCTGCTCTCCCTCCCACTTATCTCTAACCCCCCCTGGCTTGGGCCGGGCTCGGGCTCGGGCTCGGGCAGAGAATCTAAGCTCTATTTCCACTACCACCGTGACGTTGACATTTGTGCTTCAGAGTGATTATTAGGACAACTATGAGATAGATTGTTATAAAATTTACAACCGACATTCAAGTTCACTACATTATTAGCCTGGTTCCAGACCATACACCCCACCCACTCAGCTGAGTAGGCTTGCATCTCTGGTCTGGCATACTGCAATGAATTTGCGATTTATCTCGTCGAAAAGATGGAAGGACCAATGAACGCAGGGGTTGGGGGAGGGTCTAACGATTAGCCAATCAGCGCCACGCTGATGTCAAGTTGTCCGCCAGTGGGTAACTGGTGAGGATAGCAACAATGGCGACCGCTACAGATCCTACAGACCACATTGACGATGCTATTGAGGTATTTCGCCACTACTCGCGTTAATGGAGGACCAAATTAAGGAAGCTGCTAAACTGGATTTAATGGCTGGGCGTGCACGACGACGGAGACATTTTAAACGGGCAATGCTCGCTTGTTTTCGGCACCCCCGAGGCATGGATACTAATGACGTCAGATTCTGGGTGAGTCGTTGATCTCTACTGATTGGTTAGGAAAAAATCAAATTCCCTCCCCCTTGTAAATCGCCTTCAATTGAGGCGATGTCAGACTGAAGGTTCTGGGAGCTTCAGTCTGACACTCAGGCTACTACATTATGGTAGCTGGTGATCTTTTGACTTTTCCTGTAGTGCCACCATCAGGTCAGATTTCACTGATGCTGTGATACATTTTTTTTATTTTTGGATTGGCACATATACCCAATATGCCCATACTATATATCCTTTAAATCAGCCTTAGCTGTGCTTTGTGTCCAATGCTAATTAGCAAATGTTAGCATGCTAACACGCTAAACAAGCACGTGAAACACGGTGGTAAATATTATACCTGCCAAATATCAGCATGCTAGCATTATCGCTGACAATGTTGGGTAGTAATATAACTTCTTCCATTTACAAGTACTGTAACTAATTACTAATAAAATTTCAGCTATATATTACAATTACCCCAAAACCAAACAACTCATTACAAGGTTACTTTTGTTCTCACATCACTACTGACTTGAAATGCAACAATCACATTGGCGGATTCATCTTCATAATTGTTGTGCTGCACAGGCACGTTTTAAAGCAGCAAGCTCGTTTTGAAGATGGAAACGCTAACCTTAACAGCCGAAAATAGTCCCATTATTTTGATTTTGTCGGGAGGAAAGATGACAAGGACACTATTGCTGCAGGTAGTGCTACTAAAACTCTTTCCTGTACAAAAAACACATCCTCAAACCTCTGGTCTGAAAAACCTACTACAACTGACAGCACAACAATGTGTAGCTCCAGGAAGTACACCCCACCACAGATGAGCCCTCCTCAGCTGCAGAGGTTGGCTTTAGCCCTACACTGGCTAAACAACCAAAACAAGTTTTTACTCTTGGACAACTGCAGGCTACAAAGAGATAATGATAATGAAGCTTGTGGCTGGATATGTTGTGTATGAAATGTTGCTCCATGAGTGACTCTCCATGTTTCAGGCAGAGCTTTGGGAAAATACCGGTCACAGAAAATGCCAGGAAAAAATTATTTGCAGGCTATATTGCTTCATTAACATCGATGCACACATCGTAATTTCTGGAAGAAGTAATTCCATAGCTTTAGAAAAAGTAACAAGTAATAACTGATAAATTACATTTTAAAAGTAACAACCCCAACACTGATCATTCATAAGATAATCTTTATTTATCCCACACTGGGGAAATTCACTTATTAATTGTTTGTACGTGAGCATGCTGATTTAAGCATTTAGTTACAGTCTCTCAGAGCTGCATGCCTGCCTTATTTCCGACCACTGGTTGAACCCTTGTCCCGGGTTTGTTTGCTTTTCTCACTTGACTGCAGCACTGATTAGAGTGTGAAGTGCCTAATCAGTATTCAGTTATAAATCAAACACAGTGAAAGGTTGAATATAACCTTCTCACCCACAGGCAGGCACTGATACTATTTAGTCTGACTATTAACATTGACATAGATTGGCATAAGTTTGGAAATACAACCACAGAAGCACACAGAACCAGAAACACACATGAAAGCATTTAGATTGATTAGGATACATTCAGATTTATGTCTTCATTTTTCATGTCTTTTATTTTATTACTGGAAGTATATCATAGCTAGATTGCCTACAGTCAATGCATGCTGAGCAGTATATGTGAAAACTCTATGAAACTGACCATGAAATAAATGACTTTGTATACAGATGGCAGGGATGGTCCACCACCATTTCCTTTGTCACTAACACCTGATGAACTAAGGGTGCTTTCACACCTGCACTGTTTGGTTAGGTTCAGTCAAACTCAAGTTTCGTTTGCCCCCTAAGGGCGGTTCGTTTGGGATAGTGTGAATGCAGCAATCGTCGGGTACCCACCAAAACAACCGGACCAAGACCTTCTTGAAGAGGTGGTCTCAGTTTGGCTATAAACGAACTCTAGTGCGGTTTGTTTGTGGTGAGAACATGTTCAGACCTCAATCTGAACCAACAGCAGTTGCACAATGCATTGTTTGGTTTAAACATGAGCATGTTATAGTTCCAGAGGATTATTAATGTGTGTCTCCTCCTGTACTGCCTCAATATGCACACTCAGTGCCCTAAAATGAACAATGCAAGCAATGTAGTAGGGGAGACCGGGGATGATTGTAACACTTTTTTTCAACCAAAAACACTCTGTAAATGTTATTTTCCTCGGGTTATTATGTTTGATTTTACCCATTGGTTGCAATACATGACATGAATGTCAACACTTGCTCACAATAAGGATATTCAGCAGGGGACCCTGTGTTACTGCTGCTGATTACATCTTCTATATGACACACTGATTGAGCCCACCTGATGTGCTAACACAAATAGAGCACATCCAGTGTTAGTTCACAGAAGGAGCAAGGTATTTGTAACTTCCTGCAACGCGTAAGTAAACTGGAAGCATTGTTTTTCTCTCTTTTTTTATTTAAATTTATGTTATTACGTTATAATAAATAGAATTAAAAGAAAGTTGGAGGGCACTCAGCAACTGCACCGCATGCACATGCAGCTTTGGGTGACAAGTGATTTTGTATGGTTTAATCATGTACATAAGGATGCCTAAAGTAGGGGAGACCGGGGATGATTGTAACACTTTTTGTTTGAGCAAGTGTAACTCAGTGGGTGTTTTTTAAAGCTCTTAAATTTTGATACGTGGTACCCATATTTGTCTGCTATAAATAACACACACTTTGACCTCTACTACACCATCACAGATTATGGAAATTAATGTCAAATACAGAGAGGTATATTGTTACAACGTACCCCAGTACCGGGGTGAGTTGTAACACTAGCTGGGGATGGATATAACAATTAAATTATTGTGCTTAAAAAAGATTCATAATAGGCTGTACTGTAAGCATACAATAATTATAATATTAAAATAAATAGAAATGTATAACATAAATACAAAAATAAGTACAATAAAATAAATAAAGATATATAACATAAAATAAATAAAATCAAGAATAATAAAGTATTAACCTGTGTGTGTG